TCCTCCATTTGTCACCAGCCAGGAGTTTTTTCCATCGTCTGTGATTTCTCAGTGAACATCTGATTAGGCTCAATTGTCTTGGTGGATGTGTTTCGGTTGAAGTCTGGAGAACCCGTCTTCCCAGTTAGTCCACCAGGTTATGCGTGTTATTTCTAGCATCAATTAGTTTTAATGAGCGTGGATTGGCTTATCCTATTCAGACATGGAGGGGGCTCGCCCAGGGCAGGTTGCACAACCATTCACACCCATATTCACACCTATGGGCTATTTTGACTCACCAGTTAACCTGACATGCATCTCATTGTACTGTAGAGTGGAATTCAAACTCGAGCTAGCAGTACATTAGTCAGTGTGGCGCTAAGACTTTGTGTCATTTTGTCATTTCCTCTCACAAAGATGCTCAAGTTCTGAAATACTCGAACGAGGTGTAGAAGCTACTTTTGGCTCGCCACAGCAGGTAGGCCCACATGTTTGAGACACTTTTCCTTACACAATCCCAAAGAAATGCGCGTCTCCTCCCAGGATCGAATGTGTAAACCACTACACCACTGAGCCACTCATGCGACGGTGACAAGTAAACATTCCACAATCAAGATAATGCTTTTCTCATAAAGACAAACTATTTTATCAAGAAGCACACAAAGTCCATGTTTTTTTCTTTTTGGTGTGCTCTCTTTTCACAGAAACATGCTGAGTGAAGAGAATCTTGTTTGCATTACTTGTTCCTCGGGGGGAAAATTTACATTGAAATACAATATGGCGTTGCATGGTAGGAATTTCCAGCAGCTGACTGAAGCAGAAATCCTAAAGCAAACAGATCATTAAACACTCTTCCTGAAAATAAACCTTCACAGCTAATAGTGTCGCTCTGATATCTCCCTCAACGAGATTGCCAGAGAAACCATGGACACATAACTGCAATTTGCACTCGCTCACCTTGAGAGTAGCAGATAAAGTGGACCCCATCTGCTGCGTTTTGCATTATTGGGTAGATAGCTGCCTTGAATCCCTCCACCTGTTTCCACATGGGCTCCAGGCTCGCACCCCTGTCAAACAGGTCGATGACGGTCACGTTCGTCCCTGGATGAGACTGCAGGAGACGGAAGAAGGAGATGGTTTCACATCATTTAACAGGAAAAACTCACAGGAAGCACAGCGTCTAAGCGATTTGTCATATTATAGCATTGAACAGCTACAAGAATCAGCAACATGCCCTCAGTAACTTCAGATGCCGGTGCTGTCAGTTATCCTTGAGGATGTTTAAGCTTCTGAATCACTGAACTGCAAATTAACTAAAGCAGAAAAAACAAGGCCTCAGATCCGCTTTTGGTATTTTAAGCCAACCACAAAGGTCTCTTCTGTGGTTTCCAGAAAAAATAAATAAAGAGGAACCTAATGTTGGTTTTAACCTCTTAAACCTCTCTTGACATGTCCACAGAAACTCCAGAAATATCAACGCACAAGTCACATCAGCCAGGTATGGAAGCTTGTTCCCGACACAGAAAAAAAAAATCATTTTTATCTCAAAATCTTACCTTCAAACTTCTCAGAAAATAACTCAAAATTGAGAAAATTATTTGAAAATCAGTTGAAATTTTGAGATAACTACATAACACTTTTTTTCTGAGGCAGAAACAAGCATACATAGCCAGATCATCTGGTGAGAGTTTGACAGTTTCTATAGGTGTGTGTGTGTGTGTGTGTGTGTGTGTGTGTGTGTGTGTGTGTGTGTGTGTGTGTGTGTGTGTGAGGAGGTTGTAGTAGAAGATTAGTAGTAATTAATCACTTTATCATTGTGAGTACTGAGAGACTTCAAGGTGCTTCAGTGTATCTATTATAAAGAACATTATTTTTCTTCTACACTCGCAGTCCAGAACAGGTTTATTTCAGTTAACTAAACCTCAATAATTAAAACTAAGCATGAGAAATTTAACAGAAACAAAAATACAATTTGGTAAAGTAACTGACAGGATATTATGCACTTACAAAAAGTCGCTAAAATAAAGCAGAACGCTTTAGTCTTTGTCATTTTCTCCCCATCTGTGAGCAAAGCCAGCCTGAGGAGACTGTTTTTAACATATTTAATCTTACCACAGACATATGCAATAAAAATTACAGGAAAACCAAACACAGCTCTGGAAAGTAACTTAATGATAGTTATAATACAGTAATAATACAACTCTGATCGGTGTTATATTACAGCACAATAACTTCTCTATAATGAACCCGTTAATTGTATGATTGCTGCTTTATTTCTACATCAACAAAGCAGAAAGTACTTCATATTAAATCACTAAATAATGTATTACCCTTACCATAAAGCTCGCTAACAGCAGATGCATATTGCACGGTCCACGTTTTGCTGATAAACATGTGGTGATATAACCTGTAAGGCCTGCAGGATTTACTGTACAATACACCTTAACTATCCCCTGAATCAGCCTCTCCGTTAGCCCCGACACTCACCTCGTTAATGAACCGCTGTAAGTTTATAAAATCCCCTGAGCTGTCGAACAAACCGTGCACGATGATCACCGGCTTGTACCCGACCACCGAAGCCCAGAGACACGCACCGAGCAGCGGCCACAGCAGCCCGGCTGCCCCGCTGCTGCTTCTCCTCCTCCTCATCCTCAAGCTGGCACAACCGAAACCCTCCATCACAAATTAAAGTAATAAAGGCGAGAAAAGGTGTTGTAAAAAAATAAAAGCATTAAACTGTTGGGTTTTTGCTAATGTGCCATTATTCTGGGTCCAGTTGTGCTCCTTTAGACGATGCTGTTTCACGGCCAGCGGTTCTCCGTGAGAGTGCTCAAAACACTCCAGGAAAAGCAGAAACACTCCACAGCTGGTCCCTGCTTTTTGTTTTCGTTTGTTCCGGTTTTAAATTACAGGTGAAGCGGCCGCTACTGGCGTCATTTCCTGCTTCCGCTCGTCCAATCAGCGGGAAGCAGAGCGCTGCCCCACAGGGTCACGCGCAGATACAACATAAACACACCGTGACGCGAGTATGTAACATAACAAGCTTTGTTTACTCTTTAATGTGCAGCTTTAACAGTGTCTCTCTGATTTTTGTCAAATTCATTTAATGCTGGGCTGTGTAACTCAAACATTTTAATGCTTTTAACACAGTGTATTTATTTGTTGCTGCCAATAATGTTATAATAAAATGCAAATACGGTCTTCTGCTCCTTGTCAGCCATCAGGTTAGTTAGCCAGCAGTTGCTTGTATGTCTAGAACTCAAGGTCCCACAGGACCTCAGCCCTGTTTTTTTCAACCACCTTGGTGGTGTATCCCATCAGGGAATTCTAGTCAGTATATGGACAGATGTTCCTGTACGCTGTCCCAGCCACCTGGTTGTGCCTCTCAACTTACACGGGTCCAATTGCGTCTAACCTTCTGCAACTATATGTTTGATAGTCTCCAGGGCACCTTATCAGTCTTTAGCTTGACCCCTGCCTCTATAGATCTGGTGCTCAAGGGTTGTTCATGTGCTGTCCCTTAGATTGGTGGACAGAAGGCCATGCTATCTATCTCAGACACCGTCTGCCTTTATAAATATTGTAACATTATAAAAAATAAGTGACAGGGAAAACAAGTTTTAAATAAGTTTTATTTTTTAAATAATGTTTTATAAGCATTTCACTAAAAAAGTTTAATACATTTTGTCAACTTTTTTGTTTTATTTTTACAGAAACTTACAAAGTTTCAAAAACCCGAACCAAATAAGAACTTTGGTAGTTAATACGAAGCTAAAACTGGGAAAATGTTTCACTTTATGTAACTATAAAACTACTGATCATGAGAGCCATATTAATATGATGTAAGCAGTTCCCTCTTTCAATGGTGTTTGCTCCTTTGGTGCATACTCCGTTGTAACCTGAAATTACAATTTTACTGTTGCATTCCTCTGACAGTCAGTCAAGCTGCAGTTTGCAGGCATGTTTATTCAGTCTGACCTTTGAACTTTGACATAAATCTCAGTCACAACATAAGCATAAATAGAAATAGATAAAGAGGAATAATCTGGATGTTAGGCCACACATACAGCTTCATCTTCAGTGCTGCTTGACAGACTCTAATGCAGTGTGGAGGAACGATGACCACTTCTCATACACCTCTCCACAAAGCCAGTCCAAATCCTCAAAAAGTGCTCAGCTGGATTAAGAGCTGGCGACTCAGATCATTTTCATACTCTTCAACCCATTCAGTGACCTCCAAGCTTTGGCGTTATGGAAAAGCCTCATGAGTCCAGGCCTGTTCAAAAAGGTTGCTGTATCCCCTCTGCAACTTCATGTTTCCCATTATTCCCAAATATTTTTTTGCACTTTTATACTTGGATCTGTATTTCTGAGCGTACCATTTATATGCATATAATTCTGTGATTTAAAGCAGGTTTCATTACCTTAAAATTGTGCAGCCTGTACAGGCCACCCACTGAGCAGCTTTATTAATTGTGCAGGATCACTTATGGCATGCCGCTTTGACAGGTCTTTCTACTTTAATTTTAATTTCAAACATCTATTATACGGCCACAGACCCCTTCCCCCCTGACACTGGCCAGGAGTACCATCATCCTTGTAGAAAACACTCACATCACAATGAGATAAACTTATCACTCCAGATAATGTTGTATTGATTTGCAGTGACCCTTACCACTAAGGAGAACCACGTCAGCAAACTACCTCCCTTTAGCCTAGACTGAAGGGTCAGCTTTTCCTGTTATTCATCAGGTAGTGGTCTGCTATGACGGGTTGCATACACTATAGTTATTTAATGTACCTTTCATAAAGTAGGCAGCTCAGATGCTCTGCTGATGAGGTTTGAAAAGTTGAGATCTCATTGTGTCCAGATTTGAACATTGGAGGGGGCGCACTGGAGCAGAAATCAGATTGGGTGATGCCATCTGTGATGCCACTTTGCTGAAAAAGTGTCAGATTTTTAATGGAAATCCTCACTCTCATACTTTCTTTAACATGGACAAAATAATTTGAGTGAGAAATTATGTGAGCACAGGCTTTATTAACCAGTCCTGCAGGTTGAGTGCAGAACAAGATCCTCCAAATAAACAAACAACAAAAATTATGCTTATTCAAAATTCATCTCACGATCAGGTCGAGTTCAGACACAAAAACACCAAATCACCCTCAATAATTCCTCTCCTCTAGTCCATTCAAACCACCTTTTTCACCTATTAAAAAAAATAAAAAAAATCCAACTTTCCCATTAATTCTGATGAAAAAGTAAAATATGAAAGGTTGAAGGACACAGGTCATCTCACAAGTTGTACAAAGGAGTGCACGCGTAGATATTTCCGATTAATGCTGGAGTGTCACATTGAGTCGTTTCGCTTTCATCGAGAGACGCTGTGGAATTTGATGCTTCGAAATGCAACGATGACGATGCAAATTTGACAGCTTAGAAAAAGATTTATCGCTTCACCCAAACTTTAAAGAAGCAACAAAAGCACCCGAGAGCTGCAGAGATCTTTTCCAGGCTCTCACACAATTAAATGCTCGAGTGAAGCGTGAGTAGCAAGCATACACCCCCCCCCCAAAAAAAGCACCCCTACAAAAGTCGTACAAAATATTCTTTAGAGATAATGTTTGGTATCTTGCTGCTGGACGCTGTAGCAGCAGCTCTACACAGTAGGCTGCAACATCTCCTGCAGATGACACATGGTGTCCCTCAAAGTGCGAGCGAGTCTCTCTGCGTTAGTGTCCTCGCAGCAGTTAAAGGCCGTGATGGAGAAGTGGATGTGGTCTGCCTGAGGGTTGTAACAGACGGCGTAGCCGTCAGGAACGAGAGGACCGAAACACATCACGCTGTCCGTGTTGTTTGCAGGCATCTGAAGAGACAAGACAGGAGGGAGATCAATAATGGAACTGGGCCTTAAAGCTGGGCACACGTCATTAAAAACACACAAATCCTCAAATCTGAGTCTCAAAGTTCACTCTTCATCACGAGAACACTAAGGCTCACCAGACAGCTGATCTAGAGCTTCCAGTTATATCACATGATCTGTACAGATGCCAAGAGCTCAATTCTGCTGTTCTCATTTCATATCTACAGTGTTTTTAATTGCTCATAAAACATCAAATACGAGCACCTACATTTCAATGCGAGCTGGGCCGTGTTAACTTTGTTGACCAATAACATTCATCACAGTTATCATCAACTACCTCCTTTATGACTAAAATTAAATGAAAATTTGCCGTCACAATTTATGCTCCAACTGGTCAAAATCCACATAACCGGTGATCATAGCTGCTAACTGGAAACTTGTCATTATCTCAACAGCCAGTTGGGTATTTTTTCCTGAATCACACTCATGACACAACACAACTTTGTCAAAGATAAGGAGAAACAAAACAACTACATCGTTGAGTTCAACCAAGCAGCACAGATCCCCTTTAAAACTGTGCGAATCTGGAACATTCAGCTATACTGTGCAAATGCTTTGATATATACTGTCATTTGAAAACTAAGGCATGCCAGAAAAAACCCCACAAACAATCAGGAGCTGACCCCGGGGCAAAAAAAAAAAAAAAAAAAAACCCTACAAAAATTCCACACATCTGACTGTCAACACCTAAAATGAGGAAGAGAAACAGATTCATTTTGAGGAAACTCAAAGCATCCATGTATGCGTGTGCTGCAAGAAATTCACAGGAACTTCACAGGAGATTATCTGGTAGAAAATTCCCTCTCATATAGCCACTATCATTTGACAAAAAAAACAAAAAACAAAACACAACAACAACAACAACAACAACAACAACAAAATTCCCATTTCCTACTGAGCAACAGTGTAAATAACACCTCGAACAAAGACACACACACACCTGTCCTGTCCGGAGTTTAAAGTGTGTTGCTAGCCCGTAAGCCGTGTCCATGAAGATTTTGGGAATGCTCATGCCCTCCTCGATGGCCTGCAGCTTGAGCCCCAGCAGGTGGCGGTCAATGCCGTGTCCATTAAGTGCCTGAACAAAAGAGAAATGAAACTCTTGTTTGAGTGTTTTTGAATCAGTTAATCAGCAGCTTTGAGATAAATGTTTTAACATTTATTTAACACTTACCGCTTCAGTCAGAGCCGAGTAGGCATCAACAGCTTCTCTGAACAGCTCCTGCTTTGCTTCCCGCTGCAAACCCCAAAAAATAAACACATTCTGAATCCAAGCTACAAAAATCCTCCAACAGTTCTGTTCCCATTCAGCGGGAGAACTTTCTCACAGGGTTTGTGTTTCTCACCGATACGGATGGATTATCAAAGGCCAGAATGTACTGGAGCCCCTGTTTGGTGGGTGAGCGGATGTACTCGGTCCTTCCTCCTCTAAACATCCTCTGAGTGGCGATATCGCAGGCAGAACAGACTTCACTGTGAACTCTGCAGACAAAATTAAAGCCAATATCAGGGACAATGCTGCTAACAGGCAGAGGTGTTCATCTCAAGTAAGTGCTGCACTTTAAATTAAGCAGAAAACAAAACTTAATGATTCTCACTCTTGTAGACAGTTAGCACATTCAGAATTTACAGAGAACTCACGTGTTACAACCAAGGCATGCAGAAGAGCATCTCTGAACACACAACATGCATTCAGAAGCAGGCAGACTACAGCAGCAGAAGACCAAACCAGGTGCAGGTGCCACTGCTGTCAGCTAAGAGACAGAAACTGAGGCCCCAGTTCACAGGGGCTCACCAAAACTGAACAATAAGATGGGAAAAGTGTTTCCTGGTCTGATGAGTCTAATTTTCTGATGCAACATTTGGGTAGTAGGGTCTTAAACAACATGAAGGGATGGATCCATCCAGTAACAGCAAACTATACCTAATAAAGTGGCCGATCAGTGTAAATCAGTCACTCCAATTACTCCAACAGAACTCATCCGATCAAGTCCAGGTATCAAACAAGGCGTTAGATTACCAGGTGGACTGGTGTGAGTGAAGAGGAATCTATTTTATGATCAGTCGGTTCACAAAGCAGCTAAATGGGTCAGTTCTGGACATTACCAGTTATTTAATAAAGTAACTTTCCCTCTCTAATGCAACGGGGTTGAAGTTAAAAACTACAAATGCCATCTGATCCAGTCTGAGACTAACCACAGCACAGCAGGAAATTCTAACAGCAGATTAAAACCAAACAAACAAACAAACAAACAACACACAAAAAAAGAAAAAAGAAAAGAAAAGCAGATTGCTGGCACTGACCTGTAGTAGGCGAGCTGCAGGGCGACCTGGATAAAGGAGTTTGGGCTCATCTGGTGCTGCTTTGGAAGATTCTTGCCAAACTTCTTGAAGTTGAACACATTAACGTCGAGGTCGTTGATCAGGCTGCAACAAATTCAGGACAAACATTTGCATTTGTGCTGATTTTATGTTTAAAGTCAAGGTTCAATTAGCAGCTTTAAATAAGCTTTCAGACAGCAGTGTAGAGAGGAGGTGGGAAATCACTAGATTATGTGACAGAAAGAAAACAAAGTTTATTTCTACCTACTTTGACTCACTATTTTAAACATTTCCATATAATATTTTTAAGTCCCGTTGAACTCCACACTGCACGTAAGAAAAAGCTTTATTCCTCAATCATATTTTGGCATCTGAATGATTTGAGAGAGCTCTGAAATTGCACAGGACCATATAAAAAGCTTGGCGTCTGACCAGGACAGCAGTGGATTATGAAGAATGACTTTACAGTTATCCACAGAGGCATTATTTCCATCAAGGTTACATAAACACAGCAAAGATAAATCTGTTTACACTCCTGCGGCCTTCTTTTAGAGTTCTCTCCACCTCTGTCAGATTTCAGAGCAAACACAAACATGCAGCTGATGGTGTGCGGAGAGGTCAGCGCGCTGCAGAGCTCAGCTCAGAGTTTAAGTAAAAAAAAAATTTAAAAAAAAAAGTTGGGAGCTTACATGTCGAGGTTCTGCTTGGCGTGCTCGATGTCCCTCTTGATTTCTCGGTCTATGTGAAAGTAAAGTTTCTTGGGCATTGGTAGCGGGAGCAGCGGCGCCCTCTTTGTGTCCGGTTTCTCACTGCAGACAAGAAAAAAAACGTAAACACTCAGAGCAGACACCCCATCATTCTCCACCTCAGCTCAATTTTTCTTGACTAATTCAGCACATCTGCAGTTTCATTCCAACATCTCACCAATACTCGATCACATGATCCAGCAGCGTCGCTACAGGCGGACCCTCGGCCGTGGCTTGCTCATACAGAAGACCCCACGAGCCGTCCTCGCCGACCACAAACTGTTCAAACACAGACACGAGTCAGCACTCTGCGTCAGCTGCTCTAAACAAGCCATCTCTCGCCATTCACGTGCGCATTCCCACCTGAAGCGTTTTGTCAAACCAGCGGTTTCCGCTGTTGGAGAACGTCCCGCCGCCATGAAGGACCTGCGCGGCCTTGCGGCTCGCATACCTGTCAATTAAAGTGGTTGCACAAGCGATTCTTCAAGAGCTCACACGCAGAAAACCACAGAGAGAGTGCACAACATTTAAATGGAGCAATAGCTCAAATACGGGTAGTGATAATTGTGCAGTGTTTCCAAACCTCCATAAGAAACAATAATATCTGCACAGACAGCATTACTCAACTGATTTAACAAACACAGAAATACTCGGTGTGTGTGTGTGTGTACACATACTTTTCATCTGATATCCTCATGACTGGAGAATCCAGGCACAAGGAGAAAAGTCCCGTCTCTATCATCCGCACCGATTCCTGGTTCAGTTTATCTGATACACACAGAGACCGTGTCGTTTAAACCCGATCAACTCGTCTCCCACATGTAGCCGTTTTTTTTATGATGCCCAAAAATTTTTAACCTCTCCACTTGTTCCTGCTTATTGATTGCTTCTCCTTATTTTCTGTTAAGTATTGTTTGTTGGTGCTGCTATCACTAGGATTATTTCCCCATTTGTTTATTGTTTTTATTTTATACTATAGAACACGTTTTCATACTTGTTCTCATACATAATGGTATGTTTATATTTGTATGCACCAAAACAATCTACAACTTCAGTGAAAGCAACGACTAATTGTATCACAGACGTAAAGAAGTCATTGTGGAGGACCTGCTGTTTGTGCGTGGCAGCCAATGAGAAGAAAGCTGCTTTAAGGTTCTCAGATGAGAGGTGAAACGTCTTCAAGCAACTTAAAGAAGTCCAGACGCTTTTCTTTGCAAGCTCCTTTGACTCCTCTTTCTACAGTTCCATCTGGTTTCCGAGTTTGACACAACAATCTCACATTTTTCTGTTTTTGCATTTATCGAGTATTAAAAGGAGTTAAAATAAAAAGAGTCAAACTATTCGACATCATCACTCCTCCTGTCCTTTGCCAGCTCGTACGGTTATTAACATTTCTCCTCTATCAGCTCCTGCACTGTCCGTACACACTCTGGCTCTTCTGTCCCAAACTACTGTTTTATAACTTAATGACTTACTTGAAAATAAATTTCTTTACCTTTGAGGGGCTGCACCCACAGTATTAAATAAATGAGGATAATTTTGAGCTGTGAATCATGCAAAACTACTTCAGCAGACTCCAAGTATGAAAATAACAAGATGGAAACATAATGAGTCCAACTTTCGGTCATTTTAAGTGTCTGAGAGTTTCGGTCATCACCAAGGTTTCAGTTTTTCCAACCAAGATTGATTATTGGGTTTCTGCTGATGCAGGCATAAAACATTTAACACTTAAAACTGCTTTGAGACATGTAATCAATCCATCATTAAACTGGTGTTACGTCTAAAAACATGAAGAGTTCTGATCACTGAGCTGCTCCAAGTACACAGCACCCTCTCCTGTCTCCTATGTGTAGTTAGGTTTCTACAAAGCAGATGATAAAACCACTGAGTTGGAGGGTCTCATTATCTAAAATCTATAATGAGGTAAAAATTAATAAAACGCCTCCTTTGGCCACCACCTTCAAGCTGCTCTAAAGGAACCTCAGATATTGTGACGTCATTTCAAGCACATCAGAAACATGGATGCGAGGGCGTATCCTATGCTACTCTAACACCAGCAAAGCTTCACCAACATCAGGGGATGTTAATCCTACAGTCAGAGCTTGGCATGAAGACATTTCTCACATTTGTATTTTCTTAAACTGAGCCATTAACAGATCGGTTTTGTTTGCCCTCTTAAAATAACCGAAAACAGCAGCAGCTTACAGTGAGATAGCAGTCAAGTAGTAAGCACCGGCTTGCGTGTGTGGTCATGTGATCTACCTCTCAGCAGGCGGTTGTAAGCCTCTCCCCATGTGTGGCGGTGCTCGCTGGTCAGGATGCCCATCGGCTCCTTGTCCGTCTTCCAAGACTGAGACCTGATCCTGAGCAGCTGCCCGTGGATCTGACTCTCAGTCATCCGCGAGCCATCGCTGTTATAAACCTCCAGCTGGAAGAACTGGGAGTAAGAGGAAAACCATGTCAGTAAGATCAAAGTTTTTAAAAGCAATACAAAACTAAAAGCGGGGGCATCTTTCGATTACTAAGCTGCACTAAGTGCTTTTTACAGTCACAAAAAAACCCTTCAAATCCACAGAAACACCAACATTTACAGTTATCAAAAAAACCAAACAAGTTCAGAGCTGAGACGATAAAATCTGAATTTCTGTTAAGCAGTTTAAGTTCTTTGAGGGTTTTCCTGTTCTGCCTTTTACAAAAACAAAAAGAATTGTCACCTGAAAAATATCCTCAAAAGTCCATCAGAAAACCGAGGCTCAGTGGATGAAAGCACTTTGTTTTGATGAGTACATTTCTAAATAAATAAATAAATTCTCACTGCATCATTTTAATCTCTAAGAAAGCACTTTTGGGTTCTGGTTACTTGTTGTTGGGATTATTAATCTCCATATGAATGAAGTTACACCTCACAGCTGGTTTAGTTTACTCTTTTCTGCAGGCAGCAGTCTCTGAACACCACTGTCATCAGCGTCACGCCTGACTAGTGGCAGAGCTACTTCCTGCCGGGACTCTCATGTATCCAAGCTGTAGCCTTGCAACATCTCTGACCCCTGACCCGATTGTTCTTGGCTGAGGTGCTGAGACGGGGCGCTCCAGTCTGTACTGCGCCCCGCCCAGCAGCTGTTTCAGCAGACGATGCCCAGCCCCACACGTGCAGAGCAGCACAGGACTCTCTGGGTCCTGTATTTATATCCAGAGACTTTCTTGGCCAGTGTTTAGTCACACTGTGTCTCCAACTGAACATTTCTAGGATACTCTGGGTCGACGTGTTCATCAGAGGGCGCCACAACAACACAGCACAGCTGCACTCGTCCATGAAAGGAGAACAATTCCTCGACAGATCAGAGTCCATGCAAATACTGCTGACTGCATCAGATTCAGTCATACCTCAGATTAAATGGTGTGCATATACATATAGATTTGAACTTGAGCTACAAAATGCATTTAAAAACACAAACTAGCATTTGTCTTACTAGTATACAATAACTCCGCTTACTGTCATCAGTCCAGAGTGAGAGCTGATGTTGTACTTGTGGCTAATAAACCCTGTAGAAACAGACTAAATAAAAAACAAACTATTTCTATCACTTCTCTGCTGCAGCTCCGCCAAACTTGACGCACTGCAAATGAGTCACGGCCTACATCAATTAAAGTCACTTTGGCAGCAGAATGCCTTTTCAGTAAATCTGTTAACCTTTGAAAAAAAACTGAGCCACAACAGGAAGCGCCAGAGGTGAACATCCAGGATATTTTGTTAGTTTTGGACGCTGCGTCTTCTGAAAGATGAACAACTTACTAACCTACAATAAAAAGTACAGTAGATGTGAGTATGCAGTAGTCCTTAGTCATTATGAAACACTGTGTAGATTTAGTACATCTCATTTCATGCTTTTTTTTCTTTCCAGAATCAAACATGTTTTCATGGTTTAAGAATTCCTGTGATCAAAAGTAACAGATGTCTGAAATGCTAAGAAGCATGCTTTTAAACACTTCTCTTCCTTTCTCTAATTACCCAACTGAACTCAATGTTAAATCAGACATCTGCTGACTGGTTCTCCACTTATGTGCAGATACTTTACAAACTAAATAAGCTTCTCTTTTAATCAAGATGTAGATGAAATATCCACATACAGCCAGCAATCACTAGATAAAACAACGATCTCGTGGGATAATGTGCTGCCAGAGTACTCAATGTTCAGAAGAAAGCTTCCTGTACGATCACGTGACTTCTGTTTGCAAAACTTGGTGTATCAACAATCAACTTGGAGTTTAAGAAACACCAAAAGCAGCTTCAGATGTGATTGCACAAGACTCGGCTTGACTGGCAACACAAGAAAAGAACAAAGGAGACTATCTAAATCCATCTTCTGCCACCTGTCAGGCACGACTCACCTGGTAGTTCCTGACGACAGTGATGTGCGTCGGCGAGCGGCGGGAGCGGCCGTAGTGAGCAATGTAGTCGTGTTTGGGGCCGGGGATCCTGCAGGAGGAGAAGAGGAGCGGGTAGAGCTCCTTGCACAGGGGCTTCCTTCGCATGAACTCGACCGGCAGCTGCCCGCTGACAGACAAAGAGAAACACGTCAGTCATTATTGTTTCCCCCCCCCCCCATCCTCTGCTTTCCTCAGTCACCCTCTCTGGTTGTTTCCCCTAGTAAGATGAAACCCTTAATCCACCCCTTCTGCTCAGCCATGTTTTGAACAATGAGCGCATACTTATAGCTGCCGCCTCTTCAAGACAGTCACTTAATGACTGCCTGCACCTACAAAGACATGGGTTACCCTCTTCTTGACTGCACCCTGCACTAGTTAAATACACCAAGGGACAATGAATAACATCTCTGTGCGGGATCGCTGATCATCTCACAACTGTGCAAAGAATAAAGACACCCATCAGTTTTAGACCTGCTCATTGCACAGGACCTCACCTGAAGACGCTGCACCTACTGTAGCTCTGTCAGCAGGCAAAAATGCAGACTGTGAAAGTCTACAGACTTCTAACATGTCTCATTAGGACACTGGAGAATCTGATGGCTTATAACTGACTATTTAATTAAAGTAATGTATAACAGACATTGTTAGTGTCCACTCTTTCAGCGGGAGCCACAGTGGTGTTTAACAATCAGAGCAATTCAATTAAAAACAAACAAACAAAAAGCCAATTTTGTATAAGGTGACAAAGTACAAGTAGGTCCTGTTTTAGGATTATATATGAATGCTTATAGAGCAAGAAAAAAGGTAAAATACTTTTAGAAAAGAAAAAAATCTAGATTTTTTTTTTTTTTACTGATGTTCATCGGGGGAAATGCAAAGACGTTAAATAATATTAAAACATCTCAGACCCTCCTGCTCTTCCAAACAGAGATCCAAGGGAGAATCGATTGGTCAGCGGACAGTGATTTCTACCCGTTCATCTCCAAACTGTAACCTCTCTACAGCACAAGTTACCATGCTGATGCACCCTGTTAAGTGGACTACCTTCATAATACAGAAAACCAGGCTTAACCCTAAGGTTATTCGGAAAAACCCAAATTCTGCTTCCCGGTTCAGGCCGGGTCATTCTGATCTCGACTTCTTCCTAAATCAGCCAGTTAAAAACGTTCCTCTTCCAGCTAGTTTAAATCTTATCTCCCTGTTAGAGTTTAAACTATTGCTGCTGAAGTCCACAGACTATGATAAAGGCGTCCCTCACTGATCAACACAAGGCCCCCTGATTGTTACTCAGCACTGTAACACCAATTTTAATCTTACAGGATGCATGACAACAAAATAAAGTGCAATGTGATAAAAGAGTTCAGATCAGAAATGCACAGCAGCAGAAACGTTCTATACTCAATAGTTCAGAGTTTGTGCAGTGGGAATAGAGCAGAGAGTAGCTATGAAAATGAGAGCGAAAGACAAGGAAGAGGAAAAAACTTTTTGGAGTTTAAAAATTCAGAGCTATGCTGAATGCGCCGACACTGAAACACCTTTTTCATGCTTCATTCGGGGAGACAGAGACTCCAGCAGACGTTGCAGCACTGAGCTGCAGATTCTGTTACAATATGTGCAGGCGAGTACATTTAGACGCAGATTAACTTCATGCACCAGAGAAAACACAAGGCGATGCCAGCCGAGTCAAAGGTCACGGCACAAAAATAGAAGCGAATAAAACCAACTGCAGCACCGCAGCTTAAACGCTGTCAGAGGATTACTGCAAAGTCTGACACCAGTACAGAGCCTGTGATTCCCCCGGGTAATAACCAGCTCCATAAGCTCTAAAGGGAATAACTGTATTTTACTATAGTAACCCCCCAACCCCCCCACCACCACCACACAGCAGAGAGACTGGGCACCAGTAAATATGACTTGTATAGCAGCTTGTACTTGATCTGCACTATAAAGTGTGACATATTTTCGTTTTTATTCCACTGATTTAATCTGGCATCTGTGTATAGCTTACAGGCTAAACACAGAATACGTGAACACAGAGTGGGAGAGTGAACCAAAAGAAAAGGTGTTTGATTGAACCTCTGTGTAAACGTCACTGCCATTTTACAGACTTTGGTTCATGGGTTTCAACCAAATGAAAGCTCCTCTTTTACAAGAACGAAAGTTTTAAGTTCTCACTTTCATTTTCTTTCAAACATTAACAAAAAGCCTGAAACAGCTTTGTTTTTAACAAAACATTAGTTAAATTACTATCAATGAAAGAAATGAGTTGAGAGTCATATTTATAGAAATATTTTTACGTGATTGTTACGTATTCAACTTCAACTGCGACAAAAACAATTGAGCTACACACACATCTGCCACTTTACTAGTTAAGCCTGTTCAACTGCTTGTTAACGGAAGTATCTAATCAGCCAATCACATGACAGAAATTCAACGCATTTAGGTATGAGGACACGGTGAAGACGATTTGGTGAAGTTCAAACTGAGCATCAGAGTGAGAAAGAAAAGTGATTTAAATGACTTTCAACGTGGCTGGCCTGAGCATTTCAGAAACTGCTGAACTGCTGGGATTTTCCCAGACAAACATTTCTAAGGTTTCCCAAGAAAGAAAATATCCAGTGAACAGCAGATCTCTGGGAGAAAATGCCTTGTGAAGGCAGAGGTCAAAGAAGAATGGCCAGATTGCTTTAACCTGATAGTGACTCAAGACAACCACTCATTATAACCAAGGTATGCAGAAGAGCATACCTTGTGAGAACTTGAGGCAACAGAAGATCACACATGGCATGCTACTACATCAATATGGTCAGAAATCTCAGAGAAATGTTTCCAGCTCCTTGTTCAATCTGTGCTGTGAAGCATTAATGCAGCTAGCAAGCTGTACTTAATAAAGCGGCCAGTGAATGCTCGCTGAAAACTTTTGACTTTCTATTTTCATTGGAGACAATGCTGTTACTTTTTGTACTAGTGTCCTCATCATTTTTAGCCTTTAGAGCAGAAACGGGAAGTCCTGCAATGTCCATACTGACCACTGATCTGCTCCAAATATGTTCCATAAATTAAGACTCACGTGTTTATTTTGGCCTTAAAGTCCAGAACGGCTGCAATCAGTCTGGACGCAAACCTGCAGGGAAACAGACACGAAGCGGTTCTATAAACACAAATCATATTCAGCTAAACAAAGCAGCACGATGAAACCTCAGATTATTAATGGCATGATTCATGTTTTTTTTTTCCCCCTTTTCAGGCGATGAGATCTAAAGAATTTAATGAAACGGACCCCCTTTTCAGTCTCACAGATGCAGCCTATTCGGTTTATGAGTCTGTCTTTTGAAAGAAGTCAACAGAGGCAGTAACGACTTTGGCACACAGAGGAGCAGGACATCATGTTGCAAGCTTTAAATGATAAAAATAAAAACAGCAGGTGTGAGTATCAGGATCATAAGTGCATGATGACACAGCAACACTTAACTAAACCCTTTTGCTTCTGTGTCCTTTAACACTTCTGTT